GTTCGTGACCACGAAAACTAAATGGATCGAAATATTAAAAATAATAAAATTATAATAGCCAACGTAACATTAGATTCTATAAGAATTTTTTATGATATCTTTTTTTTTTTTATTACTACTTCAGATATTTCATGAGTGCGATATCAATAACTATATATAAACTATCTTTTCTTTTTGAATGTCTGACGCAAAAAAATTCAACTAAAGCCGTTTTCTTCTCAAGTCGCGACCTTGCATTCAAATCGAACCTAAAAGTATCTTTAATATCACAAAACCTACCTTTTCTATTCTATATTATAAACATACTTACTTTAATATCGACTTAACAGCAAATGGCTCGCCTGTTACATTAAAAATCCTTAAAAATTATTACGAACTAGCTGACTCGGCAGACTTTGTAGTGCCTCAATCAATAAATAAAAGACCTAAACTTCTATATAAAATAAACTTAAAACAAACAAAAGGAATCCGTCCGACGGGGGACACATCAAAGGAGAAACAAAGTTGTTATTTTTATTTAATTCCATTTCATATTTACCTTTTAAACCATCTCTGGACTTCCACAAATAATCCAAGACCAAAATTAGCCAAATCGGTCCAGCCGTTCTCGAGTTTTAGCGAGACTAAAGAACAGCAATTCATTTTTATATATATATATATAGAGATAGTAAAGGTTTCACAATAACACAAAAGTTAACAAACAAGTTTTTACAAATACCATTTCACAAATACACAAGAAGATAATGAACAGTAAATGTTTCTACTGTTTATTGGCAGTCAAATATCAATCTATCTCCTTAATGAAAAAACTTTCAGCTAAGTTTTCTTATCGGAGGAAAACAAAAATGGATTTTTGCGACAACATCTGCGTCTAACCTTTAATAATCCATTTCAAATGCTATTCTAATGACAGTGAAGATAATATTTGAATTCTCATACTGCTCCCACGTAATGATTTCCACTTGTCTCATTTTATTGAGTAATAGAAGCTTGTAAGTAGAAATGTGTGAAATTGCTTGTACTGAAATGAGTTTTAATTTACCTGTACCTTACCTGTATACTATTTGATAACTTACGTGATTCATAACAAAAGGACACGTCATATTATACGTCATAAGGGCACCTGATATTCTATCAGATGTCCACTGATTTACTGGTGGTAGGACCTCTTGTGAGTCCGCGCGGGTGGGTACCACCACCCCGCCTATTTCTGCTGTGAAGCAGTAATGCGTTTCGGTTTGAAGAGCGGGGCGGCCGTTGTAACTATACTGAGACCTTAGAACTTATATCTCAAGGAGAGTGGTGCATTTACGTTGTAGATGTCTATAGGCTCCAGTAATCAGTAAACATCAGGTGGGCTGTGAGCTCGTCCACCCATCTAAGCAATAAAAAACACATAGGTCTCCCCCAAGCCTCGCCCCAACGATCGGTCCTGCGCTACCTGCATCCAGCGGATCCCCGCGAACCTTAATAGATTGTTAGTCCATCTTGTGGGAGGCTTGCCTACCCACGCTATGTCTTCCGGTACGCGGTCGCCACTCAAGAACTTTCTGGCCCCAACGCCCATCCGCTCTACGAGCAATGTGCCCTGCCCACTGCCACTTCAACGTCGGTACTTTTTGGTTAATTAACACTGGCACACTAATTTTATTTTAAAATAAGAAAATATAAATGAGAGTCATCAAATTGACATATAGATGTTACGAATAGTATTTTTTTCAGAAAAAGTTATAGATTTTGTTGTTAAATTAAATATCCACAAGATTTCGCCATACCATCCCACATCTTTATATTANCCCTGCCCACTGCCACTTCAACGTCGGTACTTTTTGGTTAATTAACACTGGCACACTAATTTTATTTTAAAATAAGAAAATATAAATGAGAGTCATCAAATTGACATATAGATGTTACGAATAGTATTTTTTTCAGAAAAAGTTATAGATTTTGTTGTTAAATTAAATATCCACAAGATTTCGCCATACCATCCCACATCTTTATATTAAATATTATATTCATCATATAATATAATATTATATTAATACTGATTCTATTTAATATCAATATTACCTAATATTAAATAAGAGTACATACATGTAAACATAATCCACTTTGAATACTAGTATTTATTCAAGGCACAAACACAAGTCAAAAACTTTATAACGAATTCTATTCACTTGGATATTCACTCAGTCTAAACAATGTTTCATTTATTCTCGATACATGATCACTCCTAAAGCCACTTGGAGTGACAAATTATTCTCAAAACTTTCTCATCTCTTATATCTTATTTTTCTTAATTCTCCATACACATGAATGGAATAAGACGAAAAAGTTACGTACCATATTCTCTGTTTTTCAATCGTTTTTATTTTTTTGTTTGTTGTTTAGTAGCTCTTGACGAACTTTAGTGTTATAATACTTTTATTCGTTTGTTTTTTCAAAACGTCAATGTTAAAACAAAAGAGAAAATGTTATATGTATAACAAATCTAAACCTTAAGGTAAAACCGTCGACGTCGCCCAAAGCACGTCATTACGGATCCTCCTGATCCATTAACGGTGCTTTTAGGCACCACAAGCACCGGTCACCGTCCTCGTCGAACCCGTCGCTTGCGACGAAGGGCCCGACGAATGAACTAACCCATAGACACAGCCCACTGAGTTTCTCGCCGGATCTTCTCAGTGGGTCGCTTTTCCGATCCGGTGGTAGATTCTGCGAAGCACTGCTCTTGCTAGGGTCAGTGTTAGCAACTCTCCGGTTGAGCCCCGCGAGCTCACCTACAAACGTTAGGGCGAAGCTGAAATAGCCTCCCAAGGCTATCAGCATAGGTAGGAAAAAAAAAAGGAAAAAAAAAAAACTTAAGGTAACAGTGATTATGGACTAATTTCGATCATTGGGCGACCAATTAAATCAAACAGTCGAGTCTACATATCCTAACGACAAATCGGTTCTCAGTAATTAGAGGCTGAAACGCCATCCCCAGGTCTCCAAGGGATAATTACTGTGTGATTACTTAAGAGTCGAAACTCAGTCGTTGGGTAGTGGCTTCTTAACAAACATTATATGGGAAGTTCCACACGCAAACTCCAATCTGTTGGTAAATAGCTGTTTGATTGTGGTTTTCTTGTATTTACATTACGTCGACGTAGATAATTAGCCTATGTCAAAACGAACTGTTAATACATTCACTGATAAACCGCAAACTAAATGTCATAGATTAATAGTTCAGGAAATTGGATCGTCTACTCAACTGACAGCTAAACGTAATGTAGTCTATGGTTAATTATAGTAGAATTTTGAAGTTGACCGGCCGATGTGTTTGTTTCGAGTTCCTATTAGCTTATTGTGCCGAGATAGGTAATCATTAAGAAAGCCATGTCGCGATCAACACGATCAAATCATTCGCGATGAAGCCGTAATGCAACTAGGATTCGGAACATTGCGAGTGAAAGGACTGAACAAGAAATAAAAACGTAATAATAATAAATTAAATACATGGCCAATAAAGAATCATTAAAATACTTGCTTTTTTATTTTACACTAATTATCCAAAAAATTACCTTGATAAAATCAAAAGACTGCTCATTTATTGCCAATAAGGCGGAACAAAGTTCGCCGGGTTAGCTAGTATTATTATTAAATTATAATTTTTTAAAAAATCAAATGTGCCCTGTGGTCTTACTTTAAATTTAAATTTGTAATTCAGAGGCCATGAAATACGCATTTTCCTTGATCTTGTCACTTCCGGGTCCATAATCTATTAGTCGATTTATAAATCTGTTGGCACGCACACGAACCAGTGAACACACGGTCGTATTAATTATAGTAGATATCATTATATCCGACGTGGTCCGGGTCGCGTTATTTATAATGTCAGCATAGGAACAGAGAGAGAGAGAGAGAGAGAACATACTTTATTAACAGCAGAAAACAGTCAACAAGCAGATACGTTTATATAATTGGCGGTTTTGTCACTAAAAATGATCTCTTCCAGACAACCGCTTAATTACCCGAAGAAATTCTGGACAGATAAAGATACAGCAGGTATGTTGCCTTACATACCAAACAACACCTTATTAAAGAAAATACATACATACAATAAATAGATATATACCGTTAAACACAATATGAAATCACATTATTTATATTCCAATATACTTACGTACACATAATAAAGTGAAGTATTTAATCCAAGTTATAAACTAGCTTTGTTTAAAATTTTAACTTAATGCCCCTTCAGCTCAAGGGAAAAATTTACAAAACGATCATTAGACCTGTCGTGCTGTATGGATCTGAGTGTTGGGCGACGAAAGTAAAGCATAAAAGAGGAGTACATGCGGCAGAGATGCGAATGTTGAGATGGATGTGTGGAGTGACATGAATGGCCAAGATAAAGAATGAGTATATCAGAGGAATTGTGAAAGTGGCCCTGGTAAGCAACAAATTAAGGAGCGGACGGTTAGCGTGGTATGGACATGTGATGCGTAGAGAGAAGATGCATGCGACTAGGAGATGTATGGAAATGGTAGTGCAAGGTAGAGGGGGAAGAGGTCGACCGAAGAAGACATGGATGGAGTATGTGAATGACGATATGAGAGAGAGAGAGGAGTGAGTGTTGAGATGACGGCTGATAGAAGAGAATGGAAGAGAAAAATTAGCTGTGCCGAGCCCACCTAGTGAGTGGGATAAGGTGGAGAAAAAGAAGAAGAGTTTGAAATTTTAACTAAGCCATTTCAGTATGCTTTTTGTATCATGTTACAAACTTTTTCATAATAACGAACATTAGCATCTTATAAAATTCTATTTAATTTTTAAAAATGAAATAAATTCTTATAAGATGCACATCTGAAATATGACTTGACGATCAAATCGTAAAATACTTTAGATATTAAACTACAATAATATGTTATACGTGCTGTTAAGGTTTTGTCAACCCTTGACTTATGTCTTGTCCTGATTGTTCACAGATATTTACAGACAAAATGTAAAGATTAATCATGGAGGAGCCATGCCTGAACTGCAGCTTCTTCGCAGCCTTCAACGACACACAGAACGAGGGAAACTACACTGGAAATGTAACATTTATAAACAAGTTCTATTTTTATCAAGTACGTATTCTATATTTTGCTATAAAATATGTGACTTCATTTAGAGTTAAAAAAAAATCGAATTGTTTTTTGGAACGAAGTTCCTTATGGGACGATGCGGAGGGGTATCCTAATCGGGAAAAAACGTCGGTAACGTAAGATTTTTATTAGTAATGGACACAGTGTAAGCTTTGTAATAACGTACAAAAAATAACATATTTTTTTATCATTCATTGACCACGATCTCAGAGCGTTCGTTTGCGCAATACACTAACTCTTATGCAAATAACCCTAAATGAAGTGTACCACAATAAGTTCGCACGTTACCGAATGACCGTGGGTTGTTGCGAAATCTCCAGTTTTATTTTCTTTATATCTTGAATAGAACTTAAAATTAATATTTTTATAATAAGGAACTTTATTCCTATCCGGTGCCTCACGACACCACAAATCTTTTTATTTTTTGTGTTTTTGCTTAAACTACTTTTGCTAGTGCTACTTTTGTGAATGGCGAATTCTGTATAGTATTCGAAAAGTCGGAAATAATTAAAATTAAAGTAATAAACGTAAGATAATTCTGTAAAAGTACTTTTACTTTACTCATTTAGAACGCTTAGTAGGACATTTCAGTGACACGGTGTCCATTAATCGGCCCTTACAGAAATTGACCCCGGAAGCTATTCATTACCTTCGCTCTTGCCTTACACATATTTAATATTTTACTAAAAAATAATAGCGACATGTACCTTCAATTTTAAATCATTTCAATTCACAATTCGACTTAAAAAAAGTCAAGCTTTCATGGTTCTTTCTCGTCGGAAGCTCTTACGAAGAACGAATAATAAAAAAGTGCGAAATAAAACGCACAAAGCCGGGTAATGGGGGTCGCGACATCACATCCGTATATACATTATTATGCAGAATTTAAAATATCTACGGACCGCTAATGGATTTTTGTCACATGTCGAAAGAGTCAAGCGTTTTCACTTACTTTAATATTTTATTTATATATTGTTTATTTTTATTTATTGTTATAAAATATATATCTGTTTGTCGGAGAAGCCACAATTATTAACACCATTGTCAGGCATCGTAAGGGCGAATAGTGTGATCGAGCTAAGAGAAATATTGAGTACACCAACGTAACGTTTGTTACCTTAGAACAATTGGTGGTAGGACCTCTTGTGAGTCCGCTCGGGTAGGTATAACCACTCTGCCTATTTTCTGCCGTCAAGCAGTGATGCATTTCGGTTTGAAGGGTGGGGCAGCCTTGTAACTATACTGATACCTTATAACTTATATCTCAAGTTGGGTGGCGCATTTACATTGTAGATGCCTATGAGCTCCAATAACCACTTAACACCAGGTGGGCTGTGAGCTCGTCCACCTCTCTAAGCAATAAAAAAATATATTTAGAAATCTTCTCTTGACGTTAGCAAACGAAAACGAATGACAGTTCCCAGGACGGAGTCACCGCTCCTCATGAAGGCTGATTGTGTGATGACGTCGACGCGCCGTAATACAATTATTATTATTTCGACACTTTACACGGCCGTCTGGTGTAGTGGTAAGTGACATGGTCACTACACAAGGGGGTCGCGGGTTCGAATCCCGCCAAGGGAAGATATTTGTATGATAAATATAAATGTCTTTTCCAGGGTTATGGATGTATATTAAATATATGCATGTGTATAATAAAAATCTTACATTTATATCCGTTATCTGGTACCTGTAACACAAGTTCTTTACGAACTTATCACGGGACCAGTTAACGTGGCGTGATTGTTAGTAAAATATTTATTTATTTACATTGCTTACAGCTCTCATGTACTCAGTCAATAGTTAAACACTATAAAGTTTTACACAAGCATTATTACGGACTCTGTATGTAATCAACACTTCGCTTTAAGCTTACAGATTGAACCGTACTCAAATTTAGATTAGAATACAGTGTCTAGACCCATTCTTCAGAATTCACTCGCGCAATTAACTCTGACCCTACAGATTCGAACGAAGATAATCATAATGTTTCATTTTTATCACAGACCTAAGGATGCTGTTTGTTATATTAAATACTGGTTCTCGTATTACGTAGGCGCCTTTGAAGCTATCAAACTTGGACTTAACATTTATAATTGTGTGGCGGTAGTCATCATACAACATAGATATCATCATACATTGATAGATGCCTGAATCTCACTTACGACACTTTCAAGTTAAGCTTGCATAATATACAAGTTCCGAACAATGGAAGGCATTGGGGAAGGCCTATGTCCAGCAGTGGGCAGATAAAGGCTGATGATGATAATGATGATGATGATGAACAACAAGATTCGGACCGTCGGTCTACTGAGCAATATCACCCACCCGCTCGATGGAAGATCTTCTCTTTGTCATATACATACCTCCACAATTGGATTGAACGCTTCTTGTATTTCTTCCAAGACAGATGATGTTAAGGATAGCTGATGATGAATATAACCACGTGGAGTCGTTTAGACCAAGCTATTAAATTCGAAGAAAAAAATCCTCAACTTCACAACCCTCGTCTAATAAATCCAATTTGCAAATTTTATTAAAACAAATAACGTTGTAATCGAATAATTTTCAAAAATCATATATGTACTTGGAAAATTTAATTTTCAGCATAGCATGTGAAGAAATTACGTGCTTAAAGTCAACCGTTTCAATTTTCTGCCACTCAATTTTAATTTAATAAAGTACTGAGCGGTTGTTATTAGTTTTAAACATTCGATAACAGTTATATTATATTACAAGCGGCCCGCTCCGGCTCCGATCGGGTTTTTAACAAAAATTTCAACGATATTTGACGTTGTTTTTTTTTTTTTTTTAAATAAAAAAACACTTATTGCTGCATAACTACAATAGTTAGACATATGCTGCCGCGACGCTTTTTGTAAATAATAATGTGTTCTACAAAGTCGTAGTACATTATTTTATTCTATCATCAATAGTTTTCGCAGGGCACGCGATGTAAAGAATATTTTAGGTATTTTTTTAAAACCTTGGGTTACATTATTGGAGTTTTAGTAAGGAACCTTAATTTAAAAAAAAAAAAATTATAGCCTATGTCACTCAGGAATAGTGTAGCTTCCAAACAGTGAAAGAATTTTCCAAATCGGTTCAGTAGTTTCGGAGCCTATTCAATACAAACAAACAAACAAATCTTTCCTCTTTATAATATTAGTATAGAGTATAGATATAGATATGCGACTTCTTTCGATCACGTATTTAATTTAATCTCGACTAAAAAAGCGATATACTGTAGATGCAGTAAGTATAAAGATACTTTATGCAAAAATTGCTTTTAAATTAGAAAATTGCATTCTTGTGTAGTTGTTTGATATTGCTGGGGCTCCAGACCTATAGATTATTTCAATTATCTGAAGAATTCTTATTCTACGAGTAATAATGGTCGCTTAAGATATCCACAAATATTAGTTGGTGCAGCTAGCTAAGGAATTTTCTGGTTGTATAAGGCTTTGAGAAGCTTGGGATATTAAAATCCAAATAGCAATTGTTTCAAATTCAACCTTATTATTAATTTAATTCGAATAGTATAAAAATAAATAGTATAAAATTTTGAATTATAATAATAAATAGGAAGGGAATAGGATAATCTAGAGGAAGAGGTAGACCTAAGAAGAAATGGATGGATTGTGTGAAGGACGATATGGGTAAGAGGGGAGTGAGCGAAGAAATGGTATATGATAGAAGAGTATGGAAGAAGAAAACATGTTGCGTCGACCCCAGGTGACTGGAAGAAGGGCAGGATAATGATGAATAATAAATATCCGACTTTTCGTCTCTAATGGTGGAAAATATTATCAACGTCACAACTGAATCAACTTATACATTTTAAGACATCGCGATGTCCGCTATGTGGACAATACGAACAACTATGTTTCACAAAACGTTATTCTTGTTCCCAGTCGGCACAACTGGCGATACTATGGATTCTGCTGGTGACAATAGTGGCAGGCAACGCAACGGTGGTCCTTGCGTTGCTACTCACAAAGTCCAGAAAAAGCAGAATGAACTTCTTTATTATGCAGCTTGCGATTGCTGGTGAGTACTTAGGTATTTGATGTATCATTTTCACTTAGTTTGGTTGGAAAGCTTATACCAATGTGTTTCCTATTTAGTCCATCCCTGAGGAAGCTATGCGTTAAGGAAATTTTCATGGTGCCCTAAGTGGGAATTATGATGGTGTTTAACAGAGGACTTTCTAATGGTGAAGAGCGCATTGTAAGCCCCCACATGTAGGTAGTGCCATTTCTGGTGCGACGCAGTCATACTTCGGGGCTTAAGGACTCCAAGACTCCAACCTCCTATCTCAAGGCAATGGCATCTATGACGTTGTTATGTATCGCTCCGAAAACGTCCAAACAAATTAACTACTATTGGAATGTAATCTAATTTTACAAAAACAATTTTTTTTTATTGCTTAGATGGGTGGACGAGGTCACAGTCGATCTGGTGTTAAGTGGTTACTGGAGCCCATAGACATCTACAACGTAAATGCGCCGCCCGCCTTGAGATATAAGTTCTAAAATCTCACTATAGTTATAACAGCTGCCCCACCCTTCAAACCGAAACGCATTACTGCTTCACGGCAGAAATAGGGTAGTGGTATCTACCGAGCCGGACTCACAAGAGGTCCTACCACCAGTAATAGACTTACTTACTACCCGTTTAAAGGACGAAACCAAATAACCACAGAAACTGCTTCTCCTTGTTACAGATTTATTGGTAGGATTAATCAGTGTTCTCCCAGACCTCATACAACGAGTTACCATAACTTGGCTGGCCGGATCTATAACATGTAAAATGATGAAATATTTGCAGGTGAGTATCTTATTGCAACTTTCTGGACAGTTTTTTGCCATCTTCGTTAATACCCAATATTCATCAATACCCATCCTCGTTAAGTAGGTTTTATAACCTATATTGCCGATGGTACCATCAATACCCATACTCGTTACGTAGGCTTTATAACCTATATTGCCGGTGGTACCCATCAATACCCATACTCGTTACGTAGGTTTTATAACCTACATTGCTGGTAATACCCTTCAATACCCATACTCGTTACGTAGGGTTTATAACCTATATTGCCGGTAATACCCATCAATACCCATCTTTGTTACGTAGGTTTTATTACCTATATTTCCGGTGGTAGGGAGTATCGTAACCCGACACAAATAGGCATTACCATCCTTCCTTCTTCTGCTGCATAACACGTTCTGCTTTGATGGACGGCATAGCCAGTATAAAATTCTATTGAGGCTGTCATATCACGCTCATCTCTAAAAGTATTTGGTATTCATTTAACACCAGATGAGCCCTAAGCTCGTTCATCTATCTAAGCAATTGAAAATGAATAAAGAAAACATATTTCAAGATCAATGAATTTGTATGGCAACTTATTTTAAATTTTAGTACATTGCTTGGGTATTTCTTCTCCAACTTCTTCACCAGTACATATGTCTCCGTTTGCATTTGCGGAGCTGTTCCCTTATGCGCGTTATATTGTATTCGAACAACTCAAATATATATTAGCATCCGACCTGCTAGCTACCGAATTCACATTACTCCATAATTAACATATTCATCACTCCAAACAAATTTATTGTACACAGACGACGTATGCCTTTAAGAATAAGGTCTAATTTATGGAATTTCTCATAAAAAAAAGATTTCGAGCACGAAATTAGTAAAATTGTTCTCTGACGAGACACACGAGCGGAAATCGAATAAGTTTTTTGAGGCTTTTGAACTTGTACCTCTGTATTTGAGCAAGCGATCACAAAGATCACGACCCACTCTTTATATCATTCCTCGTAAATAAGTCGAGAGACATGTAGTAAACAAAAACAAGTGAAAATCAGTTATTTCTCAACCCAAAAAAGGTCTGCGCGTATACTTTCATTCCTCTATACTCACTGCTCAACGCACAGAGAAATTTAGAGAATCATCAATTACAAGAATATGTAAGGCCCTCGGAACTGGTGTTTTTTTTTCCCTACCTTTATGCTGATAGCCTTGAGAGACTGTTACATAATTACCCTAACATGTAGGTGAGCTCTCGTGACTCAAACCGGAAGTGTTGCTAACACTGGTCCTAGCAAGAGCAGTGCTTCGCCGAATCTACCACCGGATTGGAAACGCGACCTAATGATAAAATTCGGCGAGAAACTCACTGGGTTGTGTATATGGGGGAATTTGTGTCGAAAATAGAACCATTCTATATAAATTTAAAATTTTGTTGTGTCTTTGCATTGTATGCATTTATGCCATAAGCTGTCATGCGTTCTAGTTTAAAACCGAAATTATCAAATAGTGCAGAGTTCGATCTCAAATCTCAAGATAAATCAGTCTATACTTTGTTGCATTTATGGGTCCTGGCGACTACGTAACTGCAGTAGGGTCCTCCTAACTTCAGCAATAAAATACGGATCGCTGCGTAAAGTAATCACATAATTAATAATGATTTTAGATTAGAAGCCTTTTTAAGGAATTGATTTCTAAAGTAATCTAATTACATATCACTGCATACCAAATGCTTTCGATGTTCTGGTGTCATTTATTTTTCGATAAATTCAAACCTTTTTATTTATTTTTTATTATTGCTTAGATGGGTGGACGAGCTCACAGCCCACCTGGTATTAAGTGGTTACTGGAGCCCATAGACATCTACCACGTAAATGCGCCACCCACCTTGAGATATAAGTTCTAAGATCTCAATATAGTTACAACGGCTACCCCACCCTTCAAACCGAAACGCATTGCCGCTTCACGGCAGAAATAGGCAGGGCGGTGGTACCTACCCGCGCGGACTCACAAGAGGTCCTACCACCTTAAAACGCTCCATGGACAATTGAATTATGCTCTGATGAATTTACCTTATTCATAGACAAATTAGTAAGAATTAACTTTATTAGTTCATATAATAATAACTGGGAATAATAATAATAATAGCCATCCAGACAAAGAGCAAACAAAGTTATATATCACAGGAATGTTTTTTCCCAATATTAGAATCGAACCCACGACCATTAGCGCAACAGCTGGACCCGCTAACTACTGCACTACCGAGTCAATCGTTTTATTTCTCTAACAAATCAACAATTTCATCGCTCACTATTCTGGACATTAGTAATTGCTAAGAGTGCGGTCAAGCTTCTGTCTACCGAGGTTATCTATCATCAATCCACTTCCGTAAGCCGCTACAACGAAATTCAATTCCATCCAGTCGGGATACTACTGATTTTCCAACTATAAGTCCTGTAATACAAGATTCCTGATGATATGAACTGAAAAATTTGGTTTTTCGGTGTGATTGACAGTCAATCTGCGTAGCTTAAGTGGTAGTGAAAAGCTGATTGAATCAGTAACGTGAATAATCTTTAAAGGTAGCACAGTGTACAATTCAGATTTCGATCTCATATCTCAAAGAAATGTGACGTGTTGGATGGCGGCATTGAAGCAGCAACAGCAGGGTATACAGGCCCTACAAATTGACACTAATCAACTGATAGACCTTCGGAACTATTTCATTTACCCTCGTTCATGAAAGGGTCTTTTTTTCTCAAGAAATATTATTAAAATTTCAACAGGGTGTGGTCACGTATTCCTCCACATACGTGCTGGTGGCGCTGAGCGTGGACCGATGTGACGCAATCACTCATCCCATGAACTTCACTGGAAGCTGTAAGTATTTTAGTTTTAGTGGTAGAAGACTGATCCCTAAGTCAAGAAATGATCTCCTATCTATTCTGACTAGAAAATCAATTTTATCTATTTTGCTTTTCCTCCAGATTCCCTTCTGCTTTATAGCTTCTATGGCTTGTGTTGCTAACATATATTGAAGTATTATTCATAGGTTGATAAGTCACCAGCCAAACTGTGACTAAAAAGGCCGTTTGACTATTCTTCCATTTGGACCAAAGGGAGAATTCCATCCCAACCCATCTTCTTTGTAGCTTTTATAGCCCCTTTTGTTAATATACCTCTATTTTCGTTTTATTCATATATATTAATAAGGCCTCAATCAAGCCGTGATTATACATTGTTACTTAACATTTTTTATAAAGGATCTTATGAATGTCCTCCATGATGAATAAATAACATTATGCATAAAATTAAACTTGCAAAAATTTATAAGTAAATTTATACATTCTGGTAAGGTTACTAGCAGAGGCTTACGACGCCTGCCTAATTCTGCCGCGAAGAATAATGCGTTATTCTTTGAAGAGTGGAACACCCATTATGCTTTAAGGCTTCGTCAAACAGAACGCGTAATTAGCGCGCGTCAGAGCGCTAAACTGACGGTGCGCTATGACGCCGCGCTGTATTGTACTACTATGGTATCATACCGTCAAACAGAGCCCCAGCGCTATAAGTACGCATTGCTCTGTCGCGGCGTTAGGACGCTTTGACGTCAGGCGTTGTAATTTTCTACAAATTTTATTTTAGCATCCGAGGTAATGTGTATTAAAATACTAGATAATGCCCGAAAAATTGATAGAAATAGTTAGAAAATACCCATGCTTATACAAAATGCCACGTCTGAATCACTCGACATCTTAATACTTTTAAATTTTCACACTGCTAGGCGAAAGGCACTATGATTTGACGAATGCGTTGCGTCAAGGAGCAGTGGATACATCTAGTCAATTTGTGTGACATGAAAAGAGCGCGACGTTAAGTACGCGGCGCTAAGTACGCGTTCTGTTTGACGAAGGCTTTAAGCTTCAAGCTTCATCTGTCTCTAAGTGAGCATTTACTTGTGATATCCATAAGGCCTCGATCGCCGCACCAGCTGCAATATCTAAAAATGACTCATAAAGATAACTGGGTAAAGACACATTTGAAGAAAATTACACAGGATTCATTTGTGACCTAGCTAAAATTTAATTCGAAAAACAAGTGCTTGTTATGATAGCCGATATAAATCGGTTCGTCAAACCCATTCAAAGTAACAAAGAGCCCTCCGCGCATCGCTGTCAAAATAATAAAACAAATTTACGATTTGTTATTTCCTTTTATTCATCGAATTTTAGCTGACTCCCCATGTTTTCGTGTTGATTTACGCCATTTTTACCGGCGACATGTGAACACCACTAGCCTAACGACGTAATGAATTAAACATATAAATTCTCATTATAACTTACGTCCTAAATGTATATATATATACTATGTAAAATAGCATAAAATACTATGCTATGAGCTCTTTGACTTCAACCGCTCTGAAACGTATTAATACAGTGAAAAAATATGCAAAACATAATTGGTTTGATACATAGTACTCTAAAATACAAAATACTATGTTCGTAAAGGAGATATGTGTTTTAGACTGTTCTAGGTTTTACTCACTCTAACCGACGCCATCTAGGCGGGCTTCGGATAGCCTGCCGACCGAGAGGGCTGGTGGTCGTGGCGCCTACGACCGCCGGTCTGGCGTCCCGAGGGGGTGGGTGATGGGAAAGATGTGCTCCGCACTAAACGCTTCACTTTCCCCCTTTGCCTTTTCATGAGTTCTGTCTCATGCGAGGTGTGGACGTTGGTTGTTGAGCGACAGGAGATTTTAGTCAGTTCGACTCTGACATGCCCCACCCTCCATCCCCAGTGGAGGGTGGAAGCCCGGCGCTTTCCTCCTGATAAAAAAAAAGGTTTTAGATCTTATTAAATCACTGATTTTTGTTAAAAGATAAGCTTATCGAAACACAAGTCAATCATAATATTTTGGTTTCATCATAGTTTGTGTTTGTCCAGGGCGCCGCGCGAGAGCTCTCATACTATGCGCGTGGCTTCTTAGCTTCTTCTTCTGCATACCGATGTTACTGCTATTCAACGAGGCTGATATAGAAGGTAAAGCTTTTAAAAGTTCTCAATACCGTCTGCGCTCCATTGAAGCTAGGTACTCATTTACAACCAACGCATCAATCTACAAAAAGCGTACGCAAAGTAGCCAGATAATGCTACCACCCTGCCTACTTCTGCCACGAAGCAGTAATGCATTTCGGTTTGAAGGCAGTCGTTGTACTCTAAAAACGGAGACCTCTAAACTCATATCTCAAGGTAGGCGGCGGCATTTACGTTGTAGATGTCTGTGGGCTCCGGTAACCACTTTACATCAGGTGGGCCGTGAGCGCGTCCACCCACCTAAGCAATAAATAAAAACCCCCTTATTGATGAAGTGGATGAAGTGGTTCCCACCGGGAACAATAATGATATTTGCGTTTGTGAGTGATATTTGCGCTTCCCACTTACGTAATGCAGGAGAAAGTTCTACCTTAAGGTATCAGAAGGCGCTAAGGTACCGGAGACAGAATTTATTAATTTATTAGATAAATGGGTAAGCGATTTCAGGGTTCCCATGGCGTTAAAAGGCTAGTGGAGTCTGTAGACAGACAGTAAGAGTCTGGGTAGTTGGGTAGGCAGCAGCTTAACCCTACTCCTAGCACTGCTGACATCCATGCTCGATGGTAACCACACACCGTCAGGTGGGCCGTAAGCTCGTCTGGCTACAAGGACAATAAAAAGAAAAAGACATTGCATTGTGAATGCCACCTTGGGAATGAAGCACAATTGTTAGTATAACGGTAACGCCACTTTTCAAACCGGAACACATGAGTATAATAAGTATGGTTCAAACTGGTGCAAGATAACACGTACGTCCCAACACCAGTAAATCTCAACCAGATCTCAACGTTAAAGTTTAAGTTCGTTTTATTGTAAACCAATAAAGCGTCCTGTTAAATCTCCGAAGAAGTTATAAAAGGACCGTCTAGCTCGTAAAGAAGAGTTTTAGAAAACATTATAAAACACGAGCCACGACACCCACGCTGCTGTCTGGACTCAAAGAATTAATCTGAAATATGTCGTACGGTTTATCTTGGAGATAAGGCATCTAAATCTCTTTAAACTAAAGAGGGGTGCTTTGTTAGTGACAGGGTGAATGATTCAATTCGCGAGTTGTGGAGTTGTGCTTTTTTATTTTGTGGGCAAGTTTTATATATTGTTGCCTAATTGTTGGTAGTTTAAGAGGCTATATCAATTACGCGCGTTTTGGTAGATGAGCTTATGTGGCTCAACCTGAGAGGACTTGCTAACGCTAGCTAGCCTAGTAAGAGTATGCTTCGCTAAGTCTACTACCGGATCGGAATCGCGACACACTGAGAAGATCCGGCGAGTACCTTCTTGAGTTGTGTCCATAGGATATATTGTCACATTTATAATTGAAGCCATCAGCGCAAAATTGGCCTAAACTTATGTGTTATGCTTAGTATGTAGGCAATTAGATTTGAATTTTCATGAATTTGAATTCGAATAGGCAAAAAAACAATACGCGCCAAAATAATGTTTACAAAGCTATCTGTTATTTATAGGTGAAACTATGGATAGGCCAGTTTTGAATCAAAATTTATTATATTTTAAATAAATTCCAATATACGTCATATAAGCTTAAATATAAAAAATTGTGGGTTAGGCCACTTTTGCGCGGATGGCCTCAATTGTCATGTTCAATGAGGAATCTAACTCTAAATTTCACAATAGGCATTCTCCAATGCTGGTCGAGTATTAGCAAGATCCAGTGGCGGATCTGGATGACGAGCGTCTTCGTTTCGTTGTTCGTGGCACCAGCTCTGATCATATCAGCTTGCTACGGCGTCATCGTGGTGACCATACGACAGAAAAGTCACAGGGTGCTCGGCAGGCGAGCCACAACCACAAGACAGTGTAAGTACAGATTGCTTAAATGGTCTCATCTATAATCTATATATATATATAAATGAATTGCTGTTCGTTAGTCTCGCTAAAACTCGAGAACGACTAGACCGATTTGGCTAATTTTGGTCTTGAATTATTTGTGGAAGTCCAGAGAAGGTTTAAAAGGTAGATAAATATGAAAATGCTCGGGATTAAATAAAAATAACAATTTTGTTTTTCCTTTGATGTGTCCCCGTCGGACGGATTTCTTTTGTTTGTTTTAAGTTTATTTTATACAAAAGTTTAAGTCTTTTATTTATCAATTGAGGCAATACAAAGTCTGCCGGGCTAGATAGTTATAGATATAATAGTTGAAAATGGGGTTAAGACAAGACAAGATATTTCATCGAGCAGGTATTTTTGGCAAATTAAACCGACCGGTCAGAATGTTGTTGTTAGAACTTGTATTTGTGCAAAATTATCTTCAAAATATCGTTAACACGATTCAAGTAAAATGTATTTTAAATATTAAACTTATTAATTATCATACATGTGTGGCAAGTAAGTAAAGGAAAATAAAAATGTGCAAATATTGATTAGATGTAAGAGAAAAAACACTAGTCTAGTTTCCAAGTCGTCGTGGCCTAAAGGATAAGATGTCCGGTGCATTCGTCTTGAGCGATGCACCAATGTTCGATTCCCAGGCGGGTACCATTTTTTCTAATGAAATACGTACTCAACAAATGTTCACGATTGACTTCCACGGTGAAGGAATAACATCGTGTAATAAAAATCAAAACCGCAAAATTATAATTTGCGTAATTACTGGTCGTAGAACCTCTTGTGAGTCCGCGCGGGAAGGTACTACCGCCCTGCCTATTCCTGCCGTGAAGCAGTAGTGCCTTTCGGTTTGAAGGGTAGGGCAGCCGTCGTAACTATACTGAAATCTTAAAATTATAACAAACCGAAACGCATTACTGCTTCACGGCTGAAATAGGCACGGTGGTAGTACCGCGCGTACTCACAAGAGGTCCTACCACCAGTAATTACGCAAATTATAATTTTGCGGGTTTGATTTTTATTACACGATAGCTCCAACTCTCTTTGCCTTTTTATATAGTTTAATTTGTTATTTTCAATTTCTTTTGGACGAAAAATATTTATAGGAGGAATTCTAGTATAGTTTTAGTTAGTTTTATAAAGGTAGATCTACAGTATCCTATATATTATTTGCTAACGCGTCTTAATCTAGCTAGATAAGAAAATTCAGTTTGACTTATGACATCCTTACACCGCGATCGCTACTCTAGTCACGTGTTACGTAATTTTTTCAGACTCTTAATAATTTCGGTTACCGCTGAATGATGTCCAAATTTTATTTGGTTCTAAAATGGGTTCTACGTTTGCTATTTTTTTTTTCTGCCTAAAAAAAAGCTATGCAATAGCTTTACCGCGGCAGTTCCCGAGTGCTACACGTGCTTTTTTTTCTTTTTTTTTCTATTTTATTAGTGATACCCCAATTAACAGTAAATCTATCTCACTTTGTCGTAGTCTGGCAAATTGCCTTGCCACAAAATTACAGCATTACTCCAATTACTTTTTGTCGGTACGCCAAAAATAAATGACTTACAAGAAATAGCTTGAAAATATGTATAATAATGGGCATACTTCTTATCGATCAAAGCGGTTTCTTTCATGGATAACAAATGTACTGATAACAAATTACTTGGAAATTGGGATATTTGACTTCCAATATTGAAGTCAGTTACATAAAATAGCTTGCACTATATTTATCAAGTATAAAATTTATCTACGTACATTTATCAATTACTAGCTGTAACCGTCCGCTTCGCTGGGCATTTAAAATTAACATTATTATTTCTCACCCCCACAAAGATTCTCATCTTTAACGCCCCCGCAACTGGTGTAGGGAGTCCAACACTTATATAAATATTAGCCTATCCATTAAGTACATGTATTTTCTACATGGATACCAAGTTTCAAGTCAATCGGATGCACGGTTCAGTAGTTATAACGGAACATCCGTAAAAACCACTGTAGATTTATATATTAGTATAGATATAGATTATACGTAGTATAACTGCACACAATTTAATAATAAAATATCTACAAAAATACAAAATTATTTTACATACATTTTTATGGTCAACATTCGCCAAGATAGCTTTTTTTTATTGCTTAGATAGGCGGACGAGCTCATAACCCACCTGGTGTTAAGTGGTTACTGGAACCCATAGACATCTACAACGTAAATACGCCACCCACCTTGAGATATAAGTTCTAAGGTCTCAGTATAGTTACAACGGCTGCCCCACCCTCCAAACCGAAACGCATTACTGCTTCACGGCAGAAATAAGGCGGGGTGGTGGTACCTGTGCGGAGTCCCAAGACGTCCTACCATCAGTAATTTCAGTTTAGAAGTAAAAAAATTGGGTAAATGAAATTCTAGTACGGTAGCCCTATAGGTTATGAAATATGAAGACGAAAGCATCGTTATGTTGCTAAATAAATTACTCTGAGGCCGCTATCAACAGAATAACAATATAAACGTTCCGGGTAAATTGAATTATTATTAGAACTATGCTGGGCCCTGATGAAAGACCCTTGTATGTTATCTGTATATCAATGCGTACTGAAATAGTACGGAATTCAAAAATATCAAACAGAGCGTATTGGAATCTTTTTCGAACAGGATCGGGTCTAATAACATGTTATCGGTACTCACAACGTCATAATAATAAACTTAGCTTAGTAAACACGTACAACTAGCTGTTATCTATCGTCATTTATTATTGTCATACATATTGTCTTAATTACTATCTAATTTTCTGCACAAGTGTTTATGGCATTTTAGGTTGGTTATGCGTGTAATTTGTTTCCTAAAAACATTCTTATCCACCTGGTGATTGTCTGGAAGAGATCGCTCTTAGTGATAAAATCGCCCTTTATATTTTTTTAAATTAATGTTTTGAATTTTTTGTTCTTTTGTGTACAATAATGCATACTTTCTCTCTCTCTCTCTTGCTCTAATGTGTGTTATTTTCAGCTCATATTAAGACAGTAGTTTCGTTTTGTTGCAACTTCGAAAATAAAATTATGCCCTGGATTAATTATATTTCTTTAAAGTAATTTCGAAAAGTGGGCCTAGCTCCACAAAGGCTTACTTCATCGGTGCCCCTGGTATTGGTGATCTCCATGAGCGGCGATAATCCTGGCTGAGCCTTTGCTCACCCACCTGTCCGGGTAAACTGGAGAGCCTCCGGGCCACCACTAATCCCTCACTCATAAAAAAAGCGGCGATATCCACTCATAATTAGGAAATCTAGAAATAATTTCCATTTGCGTTCAAGCATGGCAATAAGTTATATTTATTTAGTAGTACTTTTCACACTTTATAGTCACAGCGACTATAAAGAGTACGAAAATTCTAATGAAGTATTATATAAAACCAGCGAAGATTAAACCCTAAGTATTTGCAAGATTATTCTGGAAAGATTGTTTTTTAGGTCTAATATCTTAATCTAGTATGATTAATTTTAATATTGCAATAATATATTAAAATATTTTATGACCTACGAAAGCCACATCATATATCACACGCCAACTCAGAATACTTTCAGCACTAAATCGATCTCTCGAAAATAAGCTAAAGAAACAACATGCAAAGATAACGTAACACGTAATTTACACGCTGTACGAAAAGATAATTATTTGTTAGGGTATTAAAGGACTAGGAAATACCTTTAAAATGGGGCAACACTCATTAATTCAAACGAGAGAGCGTAACGACTTCTGGGCTTGCCATTACTGAAATATTGTAATTTTATACGTATTAACCTCTGCTATTCGACCCTTGGATTATGCAGTGGTAAATGCTAGTAGGTTTTAATTAAGATTAGGGCGTATTTACTAGAATTTATCAAGTCTATTAACAATTTTTTGGAATGAAGTTCCTTGTGGGACGATGCGGAGGGGTACCCCAACCTGGAAAAAACGTCCGCAACGTAAGATTTTTATTAGTAATGCACTCAGTGTACGACTTAACTTTGTAATAACGTACAAAAAATAACATATTTTTTTATCATTCATTGACCACGATCTCAGAGCGTTCGTTTGCGCAATACACTAACTCTTAAGCAAACAACCGTGAATGAAGTCTACCACAATAAGTTCGCACGTTACCGAATGACCGTGGGTTGTTGCGAAACCTCCAGTTTTATTTTCTTTATACCTCGAATAGAACTTAAAATTAATATTTTCATAATAAAGAACTTCGTTCCTATCCGGTGTCCCACGACACCACACATCTTTTTTTTATATCTTTGATGGTTGAACGAGCTCACGGCCCACCTGGTGTTAAGTGGTAACCGGGGCCCATAGACATATGCGACGTAAATTGCGCCGCCCACCTCGAGACATGTGTTCTAACTTCTCAGGTTTAAAGTACAACGGCTGCCCCGCCCTTCAAACCGAAACGCATTACTGCTTCACGGCAGAAGTAGGTAGGGTGGTGGTACCTACCCGTGCAAACTCAGAAGACGTCCTACCACCAGTAAGATCCACTGTTGGACAAAGGCCTTTTTTATTGTCCGACCATGCAGACGAGCATACGGCCCACCTGATGGTAAGTGGTTACCGTCGCGCATACCGTCATGAACATCAGCAATGCCAGGAGCAGAGGCAAGCCGATGCCTACCTCTTAAACTCTCGCAAGGCACACGCTCGCACGACTTCGCTCCACATTGTTACTGAGCGTCCGACACTACGTTAAATGATCCACGGTCTCCACTCCATCTCGTCTCCACTCGTCTAGTCCAACGGTTATCGGTTCTCCGTAAGATTTCTCGTGCTTCGTGAGCTGATAAAAAATGTAAGGAATTTTCTAGTCGTGTATTGAATTGGACAGATCTCCGACACGGTTTTTCGTTGCAGATAGCGACGATTTGGACAGCAGGCGAGCGAGTAGCCGCGGCATCATCCCGAAGGCGAAAATCAAAACTGTTAAAATGACATTTGTCATAGTCTTCGGTGAGTATGACGCTTAAGCAAGTTCTTTTTACTACAAACATAAACTGGATGTGCTCTGGAAAACGAAAGATAAATTTATGTGGTGACGTAACGTTGGCGAAACGTATACTCAAGTATCATCAACTCTTCGACTCGTTTTTGTTTTTGGTACATAACGATTCCGATAGACCCAATGTAAAGCCTTCGTCAAACAGAACGCGTAATTAGCGCGCGTCAGAGCGCTAAACTGACGCCGCGCTATGACGCCGAGATGTGTTGTACTACTATGGTAACATACCGTCAAACAGAGCCCCAGTGCTATAAGTACGCAGCGCTCTGTCGCGGCGTTAGGACGCTTTGACGTCAGGCGTTGTAATTTTTTACAAATTTTATTTTAGCGTCGGAGTGAATGTGTATTAAAATACTAGATAATGCCCGAAAAAATAATATAAATAGTTAGAAAATACCCATGCTTATGCCACACAATGCCACATCTGAATCACTCGATTTCTTAATACTTTTAAATTTTCACACTGCTATCGAAAGGCACTATGATTTGGCGAATGCGTTGCGTCAAGGAGCGTTAGACTCATCTAGTCAATTGGTGTGACATGAAAAGAGCGCGACGTTAAGTACGCGACGCTAAGTACGCGTTCTGTTTGACGAAGGCTTAAATAGCATTAGACTCGCTGGCTTTACGAGTAACGTTCCAGATTATTTCACGTATCAATGACTTAAGATTTCCGCATATTGTATACGTATTTAATTACTGGTGGTAGGACCTCTTGTGAGTCCGCACGGGTAGGTACCACCACCCCACCCATTTCTGCCGTGAATGAGTAATGCGTTTTAGTTTAAAAGATGGGGTAGCCGTTGTACAGTAAAAACAGAGACCTTAGATATCTCAAGGTGGGTGGCGACATTTACGTTGTAGATGTCTATGGGCTCCGGTAACCACTTAAAATCAGGTGAGCTGTGAGCTCGTCCACCCAATTAGGAAATAAAAAAAGGATATAAATAGAATAGGTGCTATTACGACTTCATTTCTTACAGCAAATTTCTTCTCGTAGTGGTGTTTGTAGAGTCTAGTAACCACTTAGCAGAACTGGTAGGGCGCACCACTAGCCATCTTCTGCCGCCGATGGCTCCAATTGCCACTTAACAACAAATAGGTCGTCATGTAATTAACTCGACTAAGCCGTAAACAAAACGTTACCTATGTATGGTATGGTGAATTCACGAATATTTGCAACTTTAATTTTATTACCCGATGTCATTACTTCATGTTCCAGTAAAATATCCGGCATACCAGAAGTAACCACGAAATTCCTGATACAATTAAAACGGGTAAACAAATGTGATTACACCACACCAACATCGCTTTTGAACGTGCCATTAATCATGATTTCCCGGATGCCAAATCCGCTTACGTTTTCAGCAATTAAATATAAACATTATGTCGGCTTTACTGACTTATGTTTAATGCTATAATTCGACCAGCACCGAATGTAATCACAGCATATCACTGGACCCAGGGCAGCTTCAGTCAAAAAAATTGTTGATGTTCAGAACCACGGCATAATAAAGAGCATGTTAGAAACTAGCACAGCCGAAACAGCAAATTAATGCCCACTGAGTTTCTCGCCGGATCTTCTCAATGGGTTGCGATTCCGATCCAGTAGTAGATTCTACTGCTCTAGCTAAAAGAACTAGTGTTAGCAAATCATCTTATGTTGAGCCCTTGAGCTTACCTACCCGTCCGCGAGATGCTGGAATAGCCCCTTAGGCCACCTGTGAATAGATAGGGAAAAAACAATGAATTGAAGTCAATATGGACCAAGCAATTCAGAAATACTCATTGTTTTATTCAGAAAGAGGTATGGTGTCGTGGGACACCGGATAGAAACGAAGTTCCTTATTATAAAAATATTAATTTAAAGTTCTATTCGAGGTATAAAGAAAATAAAACTGGAGGTTTCGCAACAACCCACGGTCATTCGGTAACGTGCGAACTTATCGTGGTACACTTTCATTCACAGTTATAACGTTAGTAGTCATCGTGGCCTAACGGATAAGACGTCCGGTGCATTCGTGTTGAAGCGATGCACCGGTGTTCGAATCCCGCAGGCGGGTACCAATTTTTCTAATGAAATACGTACTCAACAAATGTTCATGATTGACTTCCACGGTGAAGGAATAACATCGTGTAATAAAAATGAAACCCGCAAAATTATAATTTGCGTAATTACTGGTGGTAGGACCTCTTGGGAGTCCGCACGGGTAGGTACCACCACCCCGCCTGTTTCCGCCGTGAAGCAGTGATGCGTTTCGGTTCGAGGGGTGGGGTAGCCGTTGTAACTGTACTGAGATCTTAGAACTTATATCTCGAGGTGGGTGGCGCATTTACGTTGTAGATGTCTATGGGCTCCAGTAACCACTTAACACCAGGTGGGCTGTGAGCTCGTCCATCCATCAAAGCAATAAAAAAATAAAAAAGTTAGACTTAGTGTATTGCGCAAACGAACGCTCTGAGATCGTGGTCAATGAATGATAAAAAATATGTTCTTTTTTGTACGTTATTACAAAGTTAAGTCGTACACTGTGTGCATTACTAATAAAAATCTTACGTTACGGACGTTTTTTCCCGGTTAGGATAGCTCTCCGCGTCATTCCATAAAGAACTTCGTTCCAAAAACGTTTCTCGTCAGTTCATGTGACTTAGAAACATTTGGCGAACACCCCCATGCTCCTGAATCTCAGATTCCATTAATTCCATTAAACCAGAAATCAGCTGATTTACTACAATAGTTTCGGAATGTCCTCAATTTACATTAGAGGACTTCTCATTGGGAATGTACTTTGTTCGCTAATATAGAAAAAATAGAGAGGTGCATTAACTACATTCACTAAAACTAGACATGAAATTAGTCAGCAAACGTCAGGAGCTTATTGCGAGACATTATTCATTCTTTATGGTCGAGAGTTTAATGCGTTAAACAAATTCACGTGGCGACCGCAACGAACATTTCAGTTCTTTGTTTACACTATTCCGTAGTGAAAATGAGGGTGGACGAATTGTTATGGCTGTCGAAATGACCCGGAAATAACGACACTATGCTTTGAACAGCAGTTTGAGAACAAAGGTATATGAATATTTTCTTATAAATTAAATTCGCAAAGGTACTACATAAAATTTGATGTTTGAATTTGTGTAATGAATATTTTTACGACGCCCGTATACAATATGAATTCCGCCTCCAGTTTTAGACTCCAACTTAGAAACAAAAATGCACGGTAAAACGGCAGCTTTCCCTTCAAGTTGTAATGCATGTTGGAACTTTAACAGAAAAAAAATATGGTGCGCCTGCAACTTGGTGCACGTGAAAGAAGTGAAACTTCTTTTGCAGTGTGTAGTATTGTGTTTTTCTTCACAATTCATCCTTAAATCAAATTTCTTTTGTAATAGGGAATGCTATGCTTAAGAGAAAGGACCTAGCTCGATATGTCATTCCTCTCTATCTAAGGTCGAGTGGTTAGGGAGACGCTCTGTCTATTTTCTCACTCTCGCTCTTCCTAAATTGTATCTTTTCTCTCTAGCCGTAACGAATCTGTCGCGAGTTAAATTTTACTCTAAAGAAGTTTCACTTCAAAAATACAGAGTAGACAATTGTGGGCCCACAACACTGCCTATATTTATGCTCGTGGTTAATAGTCCGACTGGAATGTATTTCCAAAGTTACCATACGCTAACCAATATCATCATGACGTTTTTAATCGACACCTGTACACACTAAGTTTTTAGTATCATTAAAATGATATTAAAGAAGAATAGGAAGTAACTTTTTAATTCTAATTCAATAAAATACTCTTAACCACGACAAAATATGTTATATTTGTTAGTAAATACTAATAGAGCTAACTGGTTTTAGTCGGTTATCATAATGATTAGAATACTCGAGGACAAAGCTTAAATTTTTTACTTAAATAAAGGTTTAATATTTAACAGTAAGGTCTTAACCTAAGGACGGACTTAATTGGCACTATGCACTTTCTACTCCCATTGAATTGTCACATTAACCTTCGATGATAACTAAAAGACTAAAAGATTAATAATATTTTACGCTGTAAGAGTAACGCCATCGCCATAACGAATATCGAAGGATTTAGTAGCATCTAGAACGCTCGAGAAGTACAACGCCATCTATTGTCAATAACGGAAACGCAATACTCTAAATGTGTAGAATATTCTCGATAATTCTAGGGATGTGGTATTGACTATAAATAAGAGTTACAGAGATGGCATGCAGTCAGTAATCGAAACTACTCGAAGCGAAATAGCGAACAGGTCACCTAAATAAAGCAAAGCGGAAGAAGCGAATTGAGAATTTTAAATGTGTAGTGAAGTGTTCTAAGTGTTAAAAACAGTTTTTAATTTGTACTTCGGTAGAATTTTATTTATTTCGGGATACAATATGTTTTTATTCATTTAATAAGTAACATCCTCCGACAATAAACATCAGCGCAACCAATATTAACGAGTCTGAATAGAAATTCGAAACCCTTAAGATACAAGAAGAAAACAATGAACAGCTGAAACCGAGACGAAATATAAATCAAAATCTTTTGCTTGTAAACGCTAAAATACGAACAGAATATTTTCTCCATTTTAATACTGGGTCTCACTTCAAAAAATATCGTCGATGATTTTAAGAGTTAATTTATTTATGGCTTATTTTATAGGCCAAATGTTCGGAGCTATAAGAACAACGATTTAGTCCAGTTAGAGATGACGGAGGGCTCGTAAAGCGAACTTTATCGCTTCAGGAGACTTTTGTGGCCTCTCATACAACGAGGACTCCTTATTCTTATGACTTTCTGAGAGATTTGACCTCGGCGGAGTACGATTTTTATTTGACTCGTGTTCCAAGTAAAAAAAATTGATGGTATAGATTGATTTTTAATCAAGAAACAATGCGCTGAATAATTCTGGAAATATCAGCTATTTTTGTGGTCTTATATTCCACATGAGGCAGAAGTCCAATGCGCTGGTCGAACCAAATACGCTCTACTCTCAACACCTCAGTCTACGATGCCATCCGCGCAGCCGAGGATAGGCAGGACTGGCGAGGAACAGTACAGGAGAAAGTTATTGAGCCCACGATTCTCAGCATTTAGGATTATCGGCGCCAGGAGGAAGAGGGATATTCCACATAAAATGGCGATATCTATTTTGTAAACGACCAGTCTTGATCTACTCTTGTCCCACCGTTCACTTAAGAGGTGAGACTTAGGACAATTAATAACAAGGATCATTAATACATTATTTTCGAAGCAAAGGGTGAGAATGGTTTTTTAAATGACGTCAATGACCACGTGTAATATCGATTCGACGTGCAACCTAACCCATGAATCAGCTCGCTGAGTTTCTCGCCGGATCTTCTCAGCCGGTCGTGATTCCGATCCGGTAGTAGATTCATTCGCGAAGCAGCTGCTTTTGAGTTGTTAAGTCTCCTTCGGAGGCGCTCGAGCAGCTGTTAGCAAATCCCACCCCTCCTGGCTGAGCCTTTGCTCGCCCACCTGTCCTGGTGTAACTGGAAAGGCCTCCGAGCCACCTCAGACCACTTGATATTGGGCGGTTAGCATATTACATAGAAACAACATCATTTTTGCTATGACGTGTCCTGAGGCACGAGAATAAAGTTTTTCATTGTTAATTAAACTAACAGTCTCTGTACCGTTCAATGTGTGATTGCGTCGCAATAGAAATAGACTGAGTGGTAATTATTGCGGTACACTTGTAGAAACAATGCCAGTTTTGTTTAATTAAATATTTCTTTTTCTTCCGAGTCGGTCTCTTCATTGCTGAAAGTCGTGTCTAGTTTGAAATGCTGACCACTCGATGCACTGTACTTACATAATATCTATACTAATATTATAAAGAGGAAAGATTTGTTTGTTTGTTTGTTTCGAATAGGCTCCGAAACTACTGGACCGATTTGAAAAATTATTTTTCCATTAGAAGCCGACATTGTCCCTGATGAACATAGGCTACTTTTTTATTTTATTTTTTTTGGTTTCATGTGTGTTTTAATGTTTCCGAAGCGAAGCGAGGGCGGGTCGCTAGTATATTATATAATTGAATATTAACCACGAATATAGCCATATAATCCTTTTAAATTATATATAAGCTAACGTTCTAAATCGAAATTGGTAATATTTGTATAAGTTATAGCACCTTCAAAATGTACAAAACTGTATTTACTGACAGCACATGTAGATAAATATTTATTTTCAAATGAAAACCGTCAAAGGGAAAATGAGAAATTTAATTCAATACTAGCTTTCGTCTTCACTGAACAAGCCCGAGGTTATTAATGTTCATTTGAACCTCTCACGTATGAGTTGTCATGTTTTCGATTTGGCTTCCACCAAACTGTAAATAATTCGCGGTTGAAAATGTAATGAATACACCAAACCTTTGACAGATATAACTTTAATAACTAGAGGTCCCGCAGTAGTCGAAATTCGACTATAATTAATTGGAATTGAAAGTTTGTACACTATTATGATTGTATTTTATACTTCTATAATCACAAATTTCGCCAAGACTACACTTTAAAAAATATTAACAAAGGCAAACAATATTTAATCTATTCTCAATTTGACAACAGACGTCAAGAACAAAAGTTTGACAATAAATAGTATGCATGCGTGTGTGCGTCAAATACATGGTACGTAGTGTGTGTAATGTTTTCTTTATTGATTTAATGTATCTTTTATGGATTAATTAAAAAAAATATTAGCATTGTGCACTTCTTCTCTATATTCTGTATAAGTGTGGAAAATTTCATACTCCTCCGTCCGGGAAATTTTCGTAAAAAGGGATACAAAGTTTTTGCTTCACGTATTAATATATAGATATAGAGTACTCTGATGCAAAATTCAATTACAAATATAATAACTATAAGGCAACATTTCTGGGAAAATAATAGCGTTTTAATAAAGAAATAAATAAGAAGGAATGCAGACGGATGAAGGAATTCACGTTGCTCAATTCACTACGCTGGCGATAAGTGGTCAACAGAGTTTATACACATTAATTACACTGGTGGTAGGAACTCTTGCGAGTCCGCGCGGGTAGGTACCACCACCCTGTCTATTTCTGCCGTGAAGCAGTAATGCGTTTCGGTTTGAAGGGTGGGGCAGCCGTTGTAACTATACTGAGACCTTAGAACTTATATCTCAAGATGGGTGGCGTATACGGTAGATGTCTATGGGCTCCAGTAACCACTTAATACCAGGTGGCTCTGAGCTCGTCCGATTTCCACCTAAAAAAAACATGTATGTCGCCATCCACCTTGAAAAGTGAGTTCTAAATCTGTATTGGTATAGTGTGACGACTTTAACACCTTTCAAACTACACCACATTACTGCTTCGCGGCAGAAATTGCAAGAGTGGTTGCAAGTTCACAAGAGGATCTTCTTTCTTTTGTATTGCCTTATAAGCAGACGAGCATACGGCCTACCTGATGGCGAGTGGTTACCGTCGCCCATGGACTTCAGCAATGCCAGGGGCAGAGCCAAGCCGCTGCCTACCGTTTAATAATCTTCACAAGCCTCATTTGAAGAAGAACATGTCATAGCGCTCGGGTAACACCGTGGAGGGGGAGTTCATTCCAAAGCCGGATGGTACGTGGCAAAAAAGATCTCTGGAAACGCACTGTGGATAAACGCAGTGGCTCCAAGTAGTATCTTTTAATACAGTATTCTAATTTTATATTAAAATTATACGAATCATAAGTACGGGAGAACATTTCACCCAATTACATTTTTCAAATAGCCGATGCTTAATAGCTGTCGTTCTATTTTGTATTTGAGATATCTAATTGTTATATTATTTGCAGTATTCGTCCTCTGCTGGTCTCCCTACATGATCTTCGATCTACTTCAAGTATATGGCTACGTTCCGGACACACAAGTGAACGTGGCCATAGCGTCTCTCATACAAAGTCTCGCCCCGCTCAACTCGGCAGCGAATCCGGTCATCTACTTTATATTCTCGAACCGGATCTTCGTGAGTCTCAAGTAAGTGTATTTTCAGATACTTCTTACTAGTGGTAGGACATCTTGTGAGTCCACACGGGTAGGTACCACCACCCCACCTATTTCCACCGTGAAACAATAATGCGTTTCGGTTTTAAGGGTTGGGCAGCCGTTGTAACTATACTGAGACCTTAAAACTTATATCTCAAGGTAGATTTACGTTGTAGATGTCTATGGGCTCCGGTAGCCATTTAACACCAGTTAGGCCGTGAGCTCGTCTATCCTAATTAATAATTATATTAGGGTTACTCGATATGTCTAGGAGAAACGATGGCTGGATAGTATGAAAGACCAGCATAAATGAAGATGAAATTATTTCAGACTGAGCCCCGTGATTTCGAACCAATCAAAGTGAAGCCAGAATAGCCCCTCAAGGCTACTAGCAGATAAGTTGGCAAAACCAAAACATATTTTAATTATAATCGACCTTGTGGTGTCTACAGTTTCAGAACAGATAAAAAATTTATATAGAATATACAATTCGTCTCCATATCGATGAAATTAAAACAATATAATAATATGTAAATTTTAAACGAACCTTGAAAAATGTAGACCTAACCTTTATCTCGAAACTACAAATGGGAAAAACCGTTCATACCACTGAAAGCTTTTTAGACCGTAACTTCTAAGCAAACATTCCAACTGTCCACAGCACGGACGAATTATGGATCCGGTCCGTGTAAGGTTTAATACAAGATGCGAACTTCTTTGATGTTGATTCTTTTTGTTGTCACTTACAGAATTTAGGATAAGAAAATTTTGAATTTTTGCATCGATGTATAGATTTTTCTATAGCAATACTAAACTAAATTGTAAAATTAAATCGTGGTATATAAATAAAATACGTTAATATATTGTACTAGCTGTACCCGCCCGCTTCTCTAGGCATTTAAAATTAACATTATTATTTCTCACCCCACAAAGATTCTCATCATTAACACCCCGCAGCTGGTGTAGGGAGTCCAATACTCATACAAATATAAGTCTATCCATTAAGTACATGTGTTTCTACATGAATACCAAGTTTCAAGTCAATCGGATGCACGGTTCAGTAGTTATAACGGAACATCCGTTAAAACCACTGTAGATTTATATATTAGTATAGATGTATAAGTCAAATTAAAACAATTATTGTACAAAAATAAAAATTATTTGTAAAAACAGTCAAAATAAAATAGTAATATTAAGAAAAGCGAACCATTTACAAAAAAAAAATCGGTACCGAAATTCATCTTTTATTCCACTGTCATCATTAAGTACAGGTGAACTCAGTTTCGACTTCCGAACTTGTAACTTCAGGGTTCCTTGACAAAAAAAACGTGTCTAAGAAATACGAGACGCGGTTTCTAAGAGGAATGTTTCAGAAGGATCCAACACACACGTAACGAGGTTAAATTCTAAGGACAGTCCGGTCCCTGGAGCATTCGCTTTTGTTATTATATTACGAATTACTAGAATCTAGTTAAGCCAAGAAACTAGATTCCGTTTCTCTGTTTTATTTGTTGAGTAGACTTTCTTTAGTGGTGTCGCTCCCAATTTTATGATCTTTGAGATTTGTGTTATTTTCGCCGTGGTTAAGCTAAAGATAAGTTCAAGATCATGTCGGTGGTTTTTTAGAACGAAGTGTGGGACGACGCGGAGGGGTACCCTAACCGGAAAAAAACGTCCGTAACGTAAGATTTTTATTAGTAATGCATACAGTGTACGACTTTTTTTATCATTCATTGACCACGATCTCAGAGCGTTCGTTTGCGCAATACACTAACTCTTATGCAAGCAACCGTGGGTAAAGTGTACCACAATAAGTTCGCACGTTACCGAATGACCGTGGGTTGTTGCGAAACCTCCAGTTTTATTTTCTTTATACCTCGAATAGAACTTAAAATTAATATTTTTATAGGAACTTCGTTCTTATCCGGTGTCCCACGACACCACAAATCTTTTTTTATTAGTCGTAGGGCATCCTGTGAGCCCTCACGGCATGCTACCACCACCCTGTCTATTTCTGCCGCGAAACAGCTATGCGTTCCGATTTGAAGGGTGGGGCAGGCGCTGTGGTAGAAAACTGAGTCTTAGAACTTATGTATCAAGGTAGAAAATCAGGCAAGACGTGAGCTAGTTCACCCGTCCAAGCAATAAAAAAGCTAAAATCACAGACTACCCCCTCTTTGATTTTGTATTTAATAAAAATCTCGGAAGCCCGTCCGCTTCGAAGAGAAGTCTCCGCATAAATATTTAACTATAAGCCGGGCCATTAGCAGCGTAAGTGGATCGATGTAAACGTTAAACGACCTCACACGTCAATAAACTGTAGTGGGTTTTTATAAGCTTTTAGTAACGTTGTAAAAACAATGGTGGCCACTTAAAGTACTTGCCCCTAGATACATAATCACAACTACCGCACAACGTACGGACAGGGTTCAATGCTACAAGTTCACATCACAACTCTTTTATGGCTCTAGTTGAAGGTCACGGTCTACCAAGTGTCGACTGGTTTCAGGAGCCCATAGATTACGATGTAAGCAAGCCTATCCTCTAAATCAGCGTTTCCGAAAGTGGGCACTAACGCCCCCTTGTGAGCGCTGCAGGCCTAAAGGAGGGCGGTAAGCGACTCAGAAAAAAAATGGGGGCGTTGTGTAAGAGGCTTGGAAGACGATTTGTAATTTCATCTAGAAGGACTCTTAGACACCGACTGAGCTCTCGCTATAGTGGTTTTAAGTAGGTGAAAAAATGGGGGCGCTAACAAATAATTTATTCTCAAAATAGACAAAATAAGTTTGGGAACCCCCTGCTCTAATTCGAAATCTAACGTATAACGGCTGCTTCATCCTTCACCGATAGCTACTTAACTGTAGATTTGTTTACTGTCTTTGTAGACATTCGAGGATACGGCCCACCTGATAGTGAGTGGATACCGTCGCTCATGTACATCAGTAATGCCAGGGGCATAGCCAAGATGCTGCCTACAGCTTAGTACTCTCTGCAAGCTTCGTAATCTATGATAATAGTAATAATAATAACTCCAACCCAAATAATAAGCATCCAGTGCATGCAGCTCAAGCCAACGAATTTAAATGTATCGAAGTATAGTTTGAAACTCCTCCTTGCGTCGGTAATACTCAATACTGGTCGTGGCCTTAAGAAGTTTTCTTGGGAAAATACACATGGTGGGTCTCGCATGTTTTTTTTTTATTGCTTAGATGGGTAGACGAGCTCATAGCTCACCTGGTGTTAAGTGGTTACCGGAGCCCATAGATTTCTACAACGTAAATGCGCCACCCACCTTAAGATATAAGTTATAAGGTCTCAAGTATAGTTACAACGGCTCCCCACCCTTCAAACCGGAAAGCATTACTGCTTCACGGCAAAAATAAGCAGGGCGGTGGTACCTACCCGTGCGGGCTAACAAGACGTCCTACCACCCGTAATTACGCAAATTATAATATTGCGGGTTTGATTTTTATTACACGATGTTATTCCTTCACCGTGGTAGTCAATCGTGAACATTGGTTAAGTACGTATTTAATTAGAACTGAGGGAGTTCTTACAGAGTCCCTTCTTTATTTCGCCGTAAAGTCGTGTTTTATGTAATTAACACCACAGTTGAAACAATATAAATTTTATTGTTGTAGCGGTATAAACAATTCTAAGTTATTATATTATATTAGTTTAAATTTAAATTTAAGTAAATTTTCGGCGGTAAAAAGGTCCCGTGTCACAGACTATATGCTTTTTTCCACCTCTCGTGCGTTCAGGCTTACGCATCATAAAAAGGTTTTTTTTTTTTTTTTCATTGCCCTTGTAGGCAGACGAGCATACGGCCCACCTGATGGTGAGTGGTTACCGTCGCCCATGGACTTCAGCAATGCCAGGGGCAGAGCCAAGCCGCTGCCTACCGAGGTGCGTTCTTAAACGCCACAGAACAATTGGTACACGCTTGCGGGTTTCGAACACCGTTGCACCGCTGAATACGAATGCACCGGATGTCTTATCGAAGAAAAAGAAAATATAGATTGTAAGAACGTATTTTAAGTAAAAAGCCAGTAACAATTAATGTAACATTGAACGATGTCACGTTTTTGCGGTAAACTAAAGCAGACGTGGCACGATCCAGTGATTAATTCTATAGCTAAAATGACCCTTTTCATTTTGGAAGATTGTTAATTTCATCCCGCTCGACTGCTCGTTATCGGTCGATTCGTTGTCTGGCTCGTGTGGCTTACATTACCGAAACCGTATTATTGAAAGCCTTTGAGGGCGATATTTGTTTTCGTCAGCTTTTTAGAACCCGCTGTGATTTTCTTCGTTGGTTTATTTAGTGTTCCGATTGGTTGATTTTTAATAATGTAACATTTGTTTTTTTTTTTTTTTTTATTGCTTACATGGGTAGACGAGCTCACAGCCCACCTAGTGTTAAGTGGTTACTGAAGCCCATAGACATCTACAACGTAAATGCGCCACCCACCTTGAGATATAAGTTCTAAGGTCTTAGTATAGTTGCAACGGCTGCCCCACCCTTCAAACCGAAACGCATTACTGCTTCACTGCAGAAATAGGCAGGGCGGTGGTACCTATTCGTGCGGACTTACAAAGGGTCTTACTACCAGAAAATATATTTATTTCGTCCGTATGATCTGTGCAATGTGGCTGGCAGGAGCTGGATGAGAGAAGCCGAGGATCATGCACAGTGGCGGTCAATTAGAAAGGCCTATGTCCAGCAGTAGACTGCTATAGGCTGATGATGATGATGATTTATTTCGTAAGCGTAACCACTTATTCAATAAAAAAATAAAAAAAATATCAGGTACTCTTGAAGACGCGTATCGTTCCGATTAAGTTATTATTTCAATAGAATTTAATTTAAGACTACATTATATTATAGTTCATCTCCTACTTAGGGCCTTTTATTTCACCAAAACTTTTACCGGTATAGCAATAAGGCGCGATTTGGTAAGGTTTATCACTCACACGACAGTTCTTGTATGAGATCAGAGCACAATTAGCAACTTTTTATATCTCAAAATATTTACACGAAAATAATTGGATTTATTATTTTGATACATGGCATTGCTGATTGATGTCTATAACTGAAAGAGACCACTCTAGATAAACTGTATGCTTCATATATGCAGTAATTAAAAATAGACTTTTTACCGAAAATCATATGAAATAGGTATGACGTATTTTTATAGTATAGTAGCAACCACTTTTAGCTTCATTTTTAAACCTAATTATCGGTTTTACTAACAGGAACATACCTCCTTACAAATGGCTGACTTGTCTGATGAAGGGTAATGATAGTCCGGCTGGCAATGAATCCAGGGCCCATACGGAGCTCCTCACGTCCTCACATCGAAGAACCAGGCGCGATCTTACCATAAGGGTATGTATTGCAACAAGATGCTAAATTATAAACCTAAACTAAATTAGACTCTCAGGTGTGATGATATGGATACGCTAAGCAACATTGTTCTTGTTTGAGCGTGTAGCCATACGAGATCCAGTATCAGTGTAAGGACCGACAAAACTATACAAAATAGCCTTCGTAATATGAATATCAAACTCAAGCTATGACTTGATGATGAAAGGTGAGCCACTGACGGAGATCTGGGAATAAGTGTACAAGACCATGGTCACACGGTGTTTTTTTAATACGCTTTTATTAGCTTCAGACGTATGTATGTTAGTATGTAACGGAATCTTTGAACATGATTTTGACCCCCTTCAAAACGTCGGATTAACTCGAAATTTGGTATACTTATTAAAGACCGACGACAATTCAAAATTTAAAAAAATTGAAAAAATTGAATTTCAACTAACAAATGAAAAATAAACAATAGTTTAAAAAACTAACAAAATACGCTGGTATAGAAAATCCAACTAAAAAATAGAAAATAAATTTTAATAAATTTGAATTAAAAATAGTGTAAGAAAAACTGATTTCATTGTAAAAAAACCGTGGGGTGCATGGTATCAGTAGTTATAAATATTTTATGAACAGATATGAGTAGAAGGGTTATTTTGATAATATCCTAAAAAGTACCCCACGCTTTTTTTACAATAAAATCAGTTTTTCTTACACTATTTTTTAATTCAAATTTATTTTCTATTTTTTAGTTGGATTTTCTATAAAAGCGTACTTTGTTAGTTTTATTAAACTACCATTTATTTTATGTGTAAAGGCTAATCAGACGGATTAATTTCGTAATCTGGTTCATAAGCCAATATAAAAGTCGAAAACAATATTCCCTTCAACACATTTGAATTTAGGTGAAAGACGACAGCGTCAAGTTTCCGAAGCCGAGGGTTCAGCACAGAAGCAGCACTAACTCCCGCAAGGTTCGCCTCCACCTACCCGATGGGCAGCACCAGGTGAACAACAACTGTCATACAGTCCGAAGACGAGATGATACTTTTCTTTAAACTTCCAGATGACGTAACTTACAACGGAAAAAATATTGTTAATTTTTGCAACGAAATTCCTTATGGGACGATGCGGAGGGGTACCCTAATCGGGAAAAAACGTCCGTAACGTAAGATTTTTATTAGTAATGCACACAGTGTACGATTTAACTTTGTAATAACGTAAAAAAATTATATATTTTTTATTATTCATTGACCACGATCTCAGAGCGTTCGTTTGCGCAATACACTAACTCTTATGCAAACAACCGTGAATGAAGTGTACCACAATAAGTTCGCACGTTACCGAATGACTGTGGGTTATTGCGAAACCTCCAGTTTTATTTTCTTTATACCTCGAATAGAACATAAAATTAATATTTTTATAATAAGGAACTTCGTTCCTATCCGGTGTCCCACGACACCACAATTTTTTTTTGCCATGCACATTTTTGAAGAGACATCGGATCCAATCAATATGTATTTTTTTGTGTGTGTATTTTTTTTAAATATTTTTAGGAATAATCACTAAGGCATGATTTCAACAAAAGACAACAAAAAAAACCATGGATCCGCATAATAAAGTATGCTTCTTTTGGAAACGGATCCTGAAAGTAAAATTCAGAATAAGTAAAATTCACTAAGCGATGTTGTATAATGTATCAATTTCTTAACAAGTCTTAGGAATAATAGAATAAAATTTTAAATATTAAACATAATAATTATATAATAATAATGTCTTCGTCATGAAAGATAAAAACTATTCGAAGCGTTGATAGTCAGTATATTTTTCGAAGAAGAAAACAGTTTTCGTGTAATTTCATTTGGGTATAAATAACTTTGTATAATCACCATAAATTAAGGTTTGTAAAATATATGTAAGATTCTTACGAATTTTCACGAAATTTTAATGAATATTTGAGTAAAATTTACATGCGAATAATTCAGGTTGTCGTTTTCTTAAATGCTAATATATATTTACGTATTTAATGTGTATTTAAAACAAGTTTCAATTGTGAAATCTAATATAGAATAATAACTTTGTTTTATATTTACTGTTAAACGTTATTGTAACCAAATTTTTGGTTATGTAAATCAGACTATTAATAAGAAGATAGTGCGAGAGTCGGCCTTCGAGTCAATCTAACCGTTTATATTTTCGCTAAATTGGTGAATGGGCTCACTGCACACTAATGCCTAAATTGCCTAATGGATAATACGTCCGGTGCATTCGTATCTCGATGCATCAGTGTTCGAATCCTGCAGGTGGGTACCAATTTTTCTAATGAAATACGCACTTAACAAATTTTCACGATTGGCTTCCACGCTGAAGAAATAACATCGTGTAATAAAAATCAAACATGCAAAATTATAATTTGCGTAATTACTGGTGGTCGGACCTATTGCGAGTCCGCACAGGTTGGTACCAACATCCTGCCTATTTCTGCCGTGAAGCATCAATGTGTTTCGGGTTGAAGAGTGGGGCAGCCGTTGTAACTATACTGGGACCTTAAGACTTGTATCTCAAGATGGGCGGCCGCATTTACGTTGCAGATGTCTATGGGCTCCAGTAGACACTTAGCACCAAGACGTCCACCCATCTATGAAAAAAAAAGTGGTTACAGCAGTCTAGAGATATGTAAATGTACCCACCCACCTGAAGATCATCGCGCTCGCGAGTCACCAGACGTCTATAATGTAGGCTCCGAAAACTACACATTACGTCATGATCCTATTACATATTATGTAATTCCCCGAGTTCCTATTTTAAGTACCAGATGTTCTAGAGCATGTTAGGGGCTCGCAAAGGTACCACGGCTCTATCTATTTCTGCCGTGAAATTACTAACCAGTCCCGTTAGAAGAGTAGGACACTCATTTCACTGATTGAGATGGGCAGCACCGTTTTCAGTGTTGTGTCCATGGGCCTAACCTCTTTCTTCTCAGTCGGACACTCTTGTCACAGTGGTCGTGGTTGCGCTGACGCTGTATGTGTAGAAGCACCTGCTAGTCGCCTATGCTCCCGAGGACCGCCCTCCAGGCAATGCCCTTCGAGGTCTGGAAACTGGTCCACTTCAACCCAACCGCATATTATTTCTCAGCCTGTTGTTTGATTTTTTTGTTGACTAACTCGATGATACAGTAGCTAGCACTCCAGAAAGCTGGGACTAGATCCGTTTGTTCAATTCCCATGTCGGCAAATATTCGTGTATTATGTGAATTCTAGTAATCCTAAGCCTATTCAAATTTCAAATGAAACTATTATTTATATTACTTTGATAATAAAATGATAGGGCAATAGCCGAAAAACAACAAAACGTTTGGCAATATACATATTTTAATTAGGTTTGACGAAATACATTGTTTCCGAAGCAACAATAAAGTCGGATTTTAGTTTTGCATAATTCGCACTGTACTGTATTTTTTGGTATTATATATTTCTCTGTAAAATACCGTCCTAAAAATGATAGCATTTTTATTTATAAATACATTAGAACAGATTTCAATTTTCAATTTTGGATTTCTCTAATACATATTATTATAAACCTTGGCCCTGGCATGAGCCTATAACGTCTCGATTTGTTCTTTCATTTTCATCTCATTTTGAAACCTTTCTGTTTATTTTATTCGTTGAAAATTTAACATATTCTTTATTAAAATGAACTCTTCTAAGATAAAGGCTATTTTGAATACTAAGATAAGATAAGACAAAGACTATTTTGAATACAATATCTAGATATCGAAACCTAATCAAAATCTAATACGAATCGACGCCATACGAATCTACGTTCTAAGCTGTAATCCCCGCGCTTTACGACAAGGAGTATTCACTAATCTATATATTAATACGTGAAGCAAAAACTTTGTATCCCTTTTTACGAAAATTGCGCGGTCGGAGGAGTATGAAATTTTCCACACTTACAGAGAATATAGAGAGGAAGTGCACAATGCTAATATTTTTTTTAAATAATGCATAAAAGATACATTCAATCAATAAAGAAAACATTACACACTCTACATACCATGTATTTGACGCACACACGCATGCATACTATTTATTGTCAAGCTTTTGTTCTTGACGTCTGTTGTCAAATTGAGAATAGATTAAATATTGTTTGTCTTTGTTAATATTTTTTTATAGTGTAGTCTTGGCGAAATTTGTGATTATAGAAGTATAAAGTACAATCATAATAGTGTACAAACTTACAATTTCAATTAATTAAAGTCGAATTTCGACTACTGCGGGACCTCTAGTGTAAATAGTTCCGTCACGACGTTGGTCGCTTTGTTAATCTTCAACTAGATGATGACCGAGATTTTCTTTTATAACGCCATCTTGTTGTGTCTTTAAAGCGGTTGGTTGCCCTCAATTAAGAAAAATAGTATTATTATTCGCCAATAGATGTCGGGCAGAGTTGATTATTGAAAACACGAATAAAACAACATTTTTTGAAAATAAATCGTAGCTAGATCGATTTATTGCCCCCAAAATCCCCTGTATACTAAATATTATGAAAATCGTTGGCGCCGTTTCCGAGATTCAGATTATATATATACAAGAATTGCTCGTTTAAAGGTATAAGATAGGCAGTAGGACGAGTTCAGATTGGATTCCCGATGACGGTCAGTTCCGTGCCCCCTTAAGAGGATCCGACAAACCCTTCTATTCTTTAATTTAACACATTTTAAAGTTGCGGCTGCCTTGCTCGTTCTTGTCTCGTATGTGTTTTCATATGTGATGACACGTATATCACAGGGGACTATTTTAAGGCTGTTACGTTGAGGGTTTGACTTTTTAAATCGACCGATGTGCATATCGCTGACTCGATGCTAAGGGATGACTCGTCTCCAAAATTACATAAGTAAATGCTATTACACACCTTAGGGCTGTCGCTTCACATCTTTTTGGATGTGAGCTGGAATTCTTTATTGGTGTCAGTGTACACTCTTGTTCCAAGTGGCAAGAAACAAGACGTGGTACCTTCTGGTCTTAAGCGAGCTGCACATAACATGCTCTAGCACTATATCTACATAGTGTTAAGTGAACTTTATTAATTAACTTAATAAGATCTTAACTTAACTTAATAAGGTACGTCTTGATAAGAAACTCATCAAAAGAGTTTTAAAAATAAATTCGTGTAAAATTAATTAAACTATAAGTAGTTAACAGATTACAGGGACTACTTAGAAAAAAAAGTACATTTTTTAAATCAAATTTAATGAAAATAACATTCAATTTTTTAAGTAAATGATAATTTGTCACGTTTTTGGTGCGACAAATAGACAAGAGAATTTAAAAATGTCCAGTCCTGTTAAATAAAAACACACGATTATGTGAATTATTCATTATTATTTTTTAATTTTCTTATATCTTTGTAAAAAGATTTAAATTTTCTACTATTAATTAATATACATAGATTAAGGGTAAATTTTATATTAACAACTAGAGAATAGATTTAATATTTCAACCAAAAAAAAATTATTAAGGTATACTTATCTTAACTACTTATCGTGATAGGGTTAAGCTATTCAGCTAGAAAATAAGAAACAAAAACGAACCTAATTCTCTAATTTTCTTTGTAAGCCAAAGGGAAACAAAATAATTTGCGTAAATTTTACGAAACAATATTGGTACAATTTACACAAAAGCATACTATCGACAAAAAAATATGCTTATGAGCCTGTAAACATTTCTTACTCTACTCATATTGAATCCTTTTAGCTTACAAAAAGGTTCTTGGTGCCAAATAGAGTGAAACTCTAAGCATTCTGAATAATTTGATACACAACGAACGACCAATTGTTCATTTGTCATCGAATATTAACATGTCCATAAATTGGAATTAACGCAAATGCTTATAATAAATTCAGGAACTTCTTTCATTTATTTCTATATTCATTTATAGCTACATTTAGGCGCTTTATTTTTCATTAATGATATTATTGTTAAAATATAAGCGCTCGATAAGGAGAAGCAATCTTGATATTTGTATTTTATTTGTAAAGTCGACGTTTTGTCGC